CACTGGACACGTTTTGAGGGAAAACTGTACAAGAAAACAGCACATGCAATTTATTTAGATCCCCAAAGTAGGGAAGAGCAGTCAAAAAACATGCACCAGAAAAACCAATAAAAAAGTGAGGAACAAACAACTAAATGCATTACATTCACAAATTTCGAGACACTAAAACAAACATCGAAACCCCTTGAAGCGCTTGAACTGATATCCCCAGAGAAATCAGGAAGAACTGAACATCAGCGGTTGACTGTCGTATTGCCTTAATAAGACGCCCAATATGCGCTGCTTAAAAGTTGTTCAGAACCACTGCAACGTCTGGTAACGAATCACAATTAAATAGTCCTACAACCACCAAGATATTAGACCTCCAACTACAAGAGTCGATATTAAAGATAGTCCCATTGCATTAAGAAGATATCTTGGGCCACTCATTCAGTGTAAATGCTACGAACTTATAAAAACGTTTGGAGACCCTTTAGTGAATTTGCGTTACCCGAACACGAATGTCCCTGGCTATTTATCATAAGAAGGCGTTCAACCGTCATTGCTCCGAATTAAGATTTCTGCCAGTGGATTTATTTTCCCAGGGATCTGGAGACACAAATTAACGGCATACTTCTGACTTGAATGTAGTATCTCAACGGGGAGTTTGACTATCAAATGTATTCGTCATGTATTGAATAAATACTCTAGATTCTATTCTCGTGGGATTCTTTTGAAACGAATTGATACGAGTGTTGGTCACTGCTTAAAAGTTAGGAAACTTTTACGGACAACTGTAGAAAGGAAAGCGGGGTAATCATTGATACATACACACAATTGCAAGAGTTTCTCTCGCTCTCTCTCTCTCCTTTTCTCTCTCTCTCTCTCTCTCTCTCTCTCTCTCTCTCTCTCTCTCTCTCTCTCTTTCACGAGTTCTGCATACTGTACATGTATGTTGTTTCAGCCTTCCCATCTCACATGTGCAAGATTAGCACATAAAGCAGACCAGCTTCCAACACATATGCTGCAGAAAGGAATAATTTGACGTTTGGGGGCCTTAATCACCAAAATCATTCTAAAATCCTGCAACACTGTGAGAAAAAGTGAAGAAGTAGGTAAATCTGATATGGCTGCAATAGTCTAAGTGTGTGTATGGCACTAAGTGTTTACCTTTAAAACTATGAAAATTGTGTCACTTTGTGTCATGACATCAGAAATAAAGAAGGACAGTATTCATCCGTAAAAGAAAGTCATGCAGATCTTATAGGGATAGTATGCAATTTCGTCCTCTCCCAAATTACCTGGGATTTCTTATAGTAATCTACAATTATATATTTAAGAATAAATTGTATGTGAAGCATTTATTAACATACTTTAAAATTTTGGTATTAAGGAAAATATTTGCATCATTTTTACCATACAAAACTTTAAGTATTTAAGTATTAAGTATTAAAAAACAACTCATTTTGTAAAGGTAATTTAATTGCATATAACTTCTTTTAAAAAAATCACATCTTTTGAACTGCAGCAGACATTTTTGTTTAAAAGAGGTTCGAAAAAGTTAATTTAAGATTAATGTAATTAGATATAAAACAAATGTATTTTTTTACACATTGGCCCTCGTACAAGAGGTGGATGGCACTCTAATGCACTTCTAAAGAAACAACTAATAACGTTTTAACCTCACGTATGGGCTCGACTTATCATTATCAAGAAGGGATGAAAAAAAGGTCATGTGACCATGCAATGTTTTGGCTGTGAAAAATGGGAAGTTTACTTTTGTGTTTTGGAGTGCAGGAAATGATCTGTCTTCATGCAAAACACATGTACTTTTTTCACGTAATGAAATTGTATACAAATGATGTCTAGTGTTTCCAGTATGCAGTGAAAACACAGAGTGATGGATCACAGTCCTCGATAATGAGCAGTGAGGAAGGACACATGGGGGTATTTGGAAAAATGGTGGGAAGATCGAACAGGACTTTTTTTCTCAAAATACTCTGAGTGCAGAGACGTTTGTGTTTGAACTATTTGGGGTTATATTGTTAATTATTGTATAAGGTAACCCGAAAAGGTAGCCGTACATTTTGTGGTTCTCATTGCTTTTATTTCAAAGATTTTATATCATTGGAAAGAAATAAAAAGAGAGCCTATCCTAGGCGTATTTTCAATCCCACCTATGTTTTTTTTTAAACTAAAGCCATAACTTTTAGTTTTCACTGGGACAGAAGAAATTAAAATGTAAAATTGGATGTTATTGACTGTTGAAGATTATTCATAAAAGCCTTTAAAATAGAATTTAATAAAAGGTTGTACAGCAAAAAATATATTTACCCATAATATATATTATTGAAATATTTCAAATGTCAAAGTTTTATAGCTATCTTAAATGGAACTTTCATTTTATTTAAAATAATTTATTTTTGTGCAAAGAAATATGGAAATATAGCAAGGATATTTTATAAAAGACAGTGACATAGACCTCGAATCATCTCTGCTCTAATTTTCATGTTTTTT